GAATTAATATGCAAAAAGCCTTTCTGCCCTTGCTCCATCCCCAAATAAAAGGCTGAAGCTCATGGCTTCACTCTGCCCTCAGGGACAGTCCAGGCAACGCCAACGCCCCCCAGCCCAGCTGGACGCTCCAGTTCCCCTGGGATGCTCCCCGGCCATCACCTCTATCTCCTTTAACCAAAGCAACCTAATCGTTCTACTGTGCCAGCCGATGACAAAGCAAAACAAGGGCGAGACAATCATGCCATGCATTCTATGGGAAGGCCTCAATGAGTAAACCCTAAACTGGTTTAGGGTCTAAATTATCTGCCAGGGCTTCGCCCATTCACAGACCACTGGAAGGATTCTCCCCAATGTGTTTCGAAGACTTACAGAATCGAGATAGTTGCGCGGATCCAGTGAGGAAACAAAACCACTTGGGCTGAGCTGTTCTGTGAAGACAGAAATCCCCAAATGCCATCTCAACAAACAGAGGAGGGAATGCTCTTACTGCCATCAAGCAGTCCCCCCTTACATTGTAGGGGTGCACAGGAGCAGTATATACTCGGGATGCATAACAAGCAAGCAGGTTTCCTAAGACAGAGTGCCCCTGTCCCGCTGTCTTCAAGAGAATCAGTCGAATCCCTACCACAGGCTGAGGACCCTTGAATAGCTTTCGTCACAGACGCGTGCTGGGAGCCACCAGGAACACATCACCCCCGGGTGCACGGGCGGCCTGCTCTGGGCGGGGGATCCGCCAAGCTGCCCTCTGCCTTCCACTCCTCTTCCTGCCTTTCTCAGCCTCCGAGCCAGGAGGAGCTGTTCAGAGTGATTCTTTCAATTACATGCAAAAACATGGTGAAAATGACAACATAACTAATGATATTTACATTTTCGGAGCCAAACTGAAACTTTTTCATCACCGCAAACATTTCTCAAAGCCCCAGATTTCACTGCTGAAAGCACCCCTCTGAGGAATTGCTTAGGAAGCCAAGTTCCCGGCTGAGGAAGTGGGGAAGGCGTTTATGTCAGTTTCGGAGGCACGAGCTGGGCGCCGGCACCAGCGGCTCAGAGCTGCGCCCAGAGCCCAGGGCCAGCAGCGTTCTCGGGCCTTTCATCCGTAGGTGTGACCAGAGCTGCTGACATCGATAGGTTCAACTGTGTGGACCCTAAGCGTCCCTGGCCCAGCCCTCAGGCCGTGGCCAAGTCAACAAAAGCCGTCATTAAGTGTATTTACCTTGGACCGGCTCTGTTAGGGAAACCAGTGCCTGGAGGGTCTGAAAGAAGACGCCTCCTCACCATACAGTGCAACACGGCAGGTCACGGGCAACAGTCTCCTTAGAAGCCTCTTCCTTCTTCTTTCCCTCTCCAGGTTCCCTGAAGCGCATCAAAGAAACTCGAACACACCCAGGTGCAAGAAGCAAAGGGAACGTGTATCGAAATGTCAACGTTTCCTCAAGCCCTGCTGCGCTCGCCCCACTAGAAGTCAAGGGATGCACGCGGAGACCTCTCAGGGGGTGTGTGAGCTCCATCGCCACAGCTCGAAACAGTCCTGGGAATCCGTTATCCCCTGCAGCACCCCAGCCCTGTGGCTCTCTGTTCCCCTTCCCGCCCCCCCCCCCCCGCCCACCCGCAGCTTGCTGCTGGTCTGTCTGCTTATCCACACAGCAACTCAGGCTTTAAACTCCCAGATGGCACCAACCCTGCTCTCGCCTCTCTCTCTCTCTCTCTCTCTCTCTCTCTCTCTCTCATACACACACACAACACACAAACTCAGGTTTTGCAGAGGTGGAACCTACTCAGCTGAGTAAGATTCATTTCAGCTGTCTCCTTCCCTGGCGAGCCTCCGTGGCATGTGCCCCCTGCAGAAAAGCCCCCACTGGACTTCCTGAGACCCGCGGGTCGGCTGTGTGCTCCTCTGTTTTGTAAGCCATTGTCCTGGATGGTGCTGTCTGAAGAAAGACCACCTCTGAGCCCTAACGCCCAGGATGTCAGCCTGAGAAAAACATTTGGTTTACAATAAAAATTTCCGTAGATCTGCTCCCCGGCCAGTGTTCCTTATGTGACAGACTGGCCCCATCGCTGCCCATCACTCCAGCCAGAGACTCGCCTGGCCGCCACCCAATCTGTCACCGAGTTCTCCCCTTTTACCTCCTACTTTGCGAGCTCATCGCCTCTCACCTGGACCGTCTCACAGACCTCCTCCCTGCTCTGTTGACCAAAAACCTCACCTCCACTCCACTTGCTGTGACAAAGCTCTGGTCACATCACTCCATTGCTTAACACTGTCCCTTAGCGGCATCGGCCCTGGGGTGGCTCCTCTCACCCAGTGCCACAGCCCACTGGGAGCTGCGCTGGGAACGGTGACAAGGGGTTGGCATCTCTTCTACCCCTGGAGCAGTTGGATGGACCTGACATGTCCCCAGAGGTCCCAGCTACAAGCAGCCCTGTCGATTTACGCCAGCACCCAGACAAATGTTATTTTCTGGATGCACAACGACAGACACCACTTTGGGCCCTATTTCCTGAAAGGACAACGCCCTGCCTGGGACACCCGTCCCACTTTGCTGAGCCAGGCTTGCTCAGAACTATCTCTTAAGGCCGGGGTAGGTCCGCCATCCCTTTGCCCCACACTGGTCTTTCCGAAGCTGGCTTGCTCCACATGAATCTGAAAGGGATCCGCCGTGAAGACAAAGCTCATGCAACCGTTTGTCAGTCCATCAGGTTCCATGTAGCGACATGACTCTAAAGCCTGAAAGCTCCCTGGAAAGGACTCACGTCTGGTTCCTAATTTAGGGTCGGCATCATCGCCAGCCTCCGTTCCCTTTCCCTGCATATTCATTCATTCTTGGCCACTTGAACGCTGTCATTTTCCAGAATGAAAATCTTGGATTCTGAAAAGGCTTGTACGTCAGAATTTAGAATCAGAGACAATTTTTGCTTGTTCCTGAGGGTTATGTCTGGAGGAGACAGCTAATTAAAATATCCTGGCGCCTGTCCCCTCAGGCACTCTCTCCCACGCAGAGAGCTTTCCGGCTCACGTCCGCGATGCTTGTCAGATCCAGGGAATGTGAGTGACGAAAAGCAGCAAAGTAAACAGAAACCCAACAAGCAAATGTTCCACGCAGAGCTGTTGCACCGTGTGTCTTGGCTTGATGTTATTTATGCACGAAAATGTACTGATTCCCTATCAGGTTATTTTTCTTAATTAGGGTAAAGTATTCACGAATGTTTGCATCATTATACCTTTGTATTTGTCTGACATATTTCATAACAACAAAGAGTGTTCCAGGCAAATTGGTTTATCCACATTCAATGAAGCTTGAGGGATGTGTCCTTCCAGGTCCTTCTCATTTTGCTGGGAGGTGCCTTTCACGGGCTGCCGGTCAGATGCCTGGGAAACTTCCAGCAAGTTCATAGGGAGAGACCTTCGACCTGAAGAGCTGGTGATTCTCAGTATGCTGCCCTTTGAATAAATCCTTGCTCTTGTCCATGCCAAGGATTCATTTGCTTCCTACTTCAAAACTTTTCATTTGTGGCCTTCACATATTCCTGTTTTCACAGGAAGAGAGAGAAGAACTTACTTTCTCTGAGCACCATGTGTAATGAGAATCCAAATAGTGTATGTTCTTCACCACGGGCATTTTTCCCTCATCAGATTCAATATTCATAGCTAAGGGCATAATCAATGCAGGGATTCTATGCCTGTGGACAGAGCAACATGAACCCATCTATTAATTTTGTAGATATCATGGGACCTGGACTATGTACGTTAATGAGAGAAATAGAACATGGTCATCTCAAGTCATCTAGCTCTGCAGGAGCTTGGCTTTGAGAACCCATGAAAATGTCCCATGTGAATCAAGCGGGGCCACTATCATCTCTTATCATCAATCCTGAGACAAAAATCATTGCTCAAGTAGAGCCCACGGCTCTACCCAGCGGGAGCGGATGGTCCCCCCCCCATCAGACAGTTGTTTGGCTCCCTGCGCCCAAATTACCCTCTGTCCTCTTCCTTCCTTCCAGAATTAGGAATGAAAAACATATTCAAAGATGAATCTAAATCCCACAGATGGTATGTCACACAAGCTTGTAATCGAGCCACCCAAATTCATGAGACAGATCCATGAAAAAGAGCCCCCGTCCCTCATCCCCCAAGGGCGGCCATGGCATCAGAAAGGGGGCTATTCCGTCTTCCTGGGTACAGCTGCTCAGTCCTTGGGTGAGTCATGAGCAGTGAATAACCGCCCACAGATGTCCTCTTCCACATCATTTTTCTTCTGCGTCCCTCTTTCATGAAGAGTGAACTGGAAAGGAATTCAAAGATAGAGTAAAGGAATAAAAAAAAAAAAAGAATAAAACAAACAGGCCAGGTCAACCCATTTGCCCTATTTCTCCTTTCAGTAGAGTGTAGGGAATAAAGGAGGTTCCAAGTATGACTGCAAATTGTGCCCCAGTCACTGTGCAAGTAACCTCACTGGTGGCAGGGTGCCCAGATCGCCTGATCCTTAACCCGCCCATACACTGCCTCCTAGAACCACAGATGAGCAGAAGTGTGGCCCCAGATCCTTACCCAATATGGATAAGTCACAAACTACACCTGGAACCCGACTCCTAAATCAAAGCTCTCCTTCCACATGTGGCACTGAAGCAGTGACCTGGGGTGTTTAGGGCCCAAGTTAGCAACGGCCACGCTCCCCAGTTCCTCAGCCAGTCACTATTATGCTGTGCACTTTATTCCGTTTACTCAAACCACCAGATGTGTCCCATTTAAAAATCCAAGTTCATCCTTTAGCTGCCATGAGTATATGTTAAAGAAACGCAAATGTCTTAACAGGCAATGGCAATATGCTGACTCTCAAAAATTTGGGATTTTGCTGCCATCTCTTAATAATATTCGTTACAAAGTATTGTAAGAATATAAAATCTATCTAAATAGAGCTGTTAAAAATCGGCGAACCTGAAGTTGGTATAGCTTATTTATAAAGTAAAACAAAGCACTTCTTGAAATAGAAAATGCATGGTTTTAAGTCTTAAGCCCTTTATTTACTTCAATGCAGAACATTTTATTTTTAGACATTGGTGGGTTTTGTTTTGTTGACATTTTCACTTAGTCAGCTGAAAACAAGTCAGGAAAATCACATGGTGACTAATAGCAACCTTTCAGGATGCTAGAGCAAGTATATAGACCGTTCTTTGTTTGGACTGAGGTTAAATCAACTGGTCAGTAAAGGCTTTCTTTCTGTCCAATAATTATGACATATCAACAGTCACCAAGTAGCACTGAACTGAGAATCCTCCAGAAATAATCGAAGGCTTTCATTTTACCAAAACAGCCATCACAAAATGCAGATGGCTTATATTGACTCATTGCATTTGCCCGTCCTAAATTGCTGAGGTTCAGAGAAACCGATTTTTTTCCCCATGTTGTGCAACAGTTTCTCCAAATCTCTGCTCATGCCCAGTGGAACCAACATGTCCCTCAGACACCCTTCATCTCAGTGGGCAACATGTGAGCAGGCCCATCCATCACACACACACACAGGTAATTAGGAGACGCAAGGAATGCACAAGGATGGCAAGAAACCATTTGATTCTTTGGCTATGCGCTAGTAGCAAATATATTATTTCTTGGCAACTAGCCCATTGGTTTGGGAAATAATATCAGACCCTGACCCAATAAACTCTGACATCCTGCGCCTCACTTTACATGCACCATAGGGCCTGCTACTGACCACTGACCGCCAATCCCAGGTAGGCACCCCTTTCTTTGGAATCCTGGCACACCCCTAGACCAGTCTGCCCTTCTCTAGAGAGACACATTTCTCCCTCCACTGCAGATCCTGATTCAGAGGTAAAATTACGCAGGCAGGCAATTCAGGGTTTTTAGAAGACTTCCCTAAAAATGACAATGTATGTGACGTTCAAGCCCTCCAATATGTCTGCATGCTGCCTTGTTAAATTAAACACACCTGGTTTATTTATACACTGTATCCAATGGCTTACAGATTAGGATTCTAGAAACAATACGTGTCTTATAGCAAAAAATATACATATAATAATCCACCTATAGTTTATATAAGTGAGGAAATGTTTCTGAATATATCTATATATCTATATATGTACACCTATATACTCCGTGTGAGCGGGTTTGCAGAATCGGCATGCAAACGCTGCAGTCCTTCATTGGCCCTTCCACTTCAGTGTCAAGAACACCAGGTTTCAAAGTCTTAAGCTGCTGAGCAAGGGTCACCGCTGAGGACAAAGGACTGGCTTGATGCACCTTCCCCGGTGAAGGACCAAGTTTGCTGGACAGTGGCAACCTGCAACGCATGGCTTACTGCATGGACCAATCTCATTCCAGTTGTCGCAGGTCTTGACGCATCCTGGGCCGCAGGTATCGTACACAGCCCCGTGCTTACACTGTGTGGCTGGAAAAAAGGAGGAGACAAAGGTGAGATGTGGAGATGCTGCCTCGTTAATTCACCCACAGCCTGAGGCCGCTCCGCAGGCTCCTGCCACTCACTGCATAGGGCTTGCAGGGGCGAAGGTTCACTCCCACTTGTTAACAAAGGACTAACAAACACCCCACCTTCCGCAACGCCCTGGCCCTCACCTGCACCGAGGAAAGTAACATCAAAGATCACCTGCTGCGCCAGTGAACTTCAAAATAAAATAAAGTGAAAGCTTTGTATGCCCAGATAAGACAAACTATACATTAGTAAAGCTATAAAAAATACTAAGATTATTTAATTGTTGATAACAGTGTGGAAGGTGGACTCCAAAGAGTCCTTCAAGCAATTGAGCTGTGATGAATGTGAACATTTTGTGCAACCACACCAATATTTAAATATACACAATTACATGTACAGGAAAAAACCTATCAAAGATATTGGAAATGTGTTACATATTTTAATATTTTGATTATGTGTTGAATTAATCAATTTGAGGGAAGTCAGAGCAAGTGTAAAGCCAAATATATCTGACAGGAGCTCAATATCCAAAATTTATACAGAACCCATGCAGCTTAGCACCAAAAAACCCCAACAAACAACCCAATTAATAAATGGGCAAAGGACCTGAACAGACGCCTCTCCAAAGAGAACACACAGATGGCCAATAATCACATGAAAAGATGCTTAACATCACTAATCATCATGGAAATGCAGGTGAAAACCACAAGGAGATATCACCTCACACCTGTCAGAATGGCTGTCACCAACAAATCAACAAACAACAAGCGCTGGGGAGGATGCGGAGAAAAGGGAACCCCCTGGCAGGGGAGCTCAGTTGGCTAGAGTGTCACCCGAATACATAAGGGCTGTGGGTTTGTTCCACAGCTGGGCATGTACACGATTCGACCAATGGATGCATGAGTGAGTGAAACAACACAGTGATCTTTCTCTCTCTCTTCCTCTTTCTCTCTCTCTAACATCAATATTTTTTTTTAAGGGAACTCCCGTGCACTGTTGGTAGGAATGCAGAATGGTGCAGCCACTACAAAAGAAAAGAGTATGGAGGTTCCTAAAAAAATTTGAAAATGGAACTGTTTTGTGACCCAGCCATTCCTCGTCTGAGTATACATATGAAGAAGCCCAAAACACTAATTCAAAGGGGTGCATGCACCCCCATGTTCACTGCAGCATTATTTACAATAGCCCAGGTAGGAAAGCAACACAAGTGCCCTTCAATAGATGAGTAGATATCAGAGCTGTGGCACATATACACAATGGAATATTATTCCACCATTAAAAAGGAACAAAATCTTTCTATTTGCAACGGCATGGGTGGACCTAGAAGGTATGATGCTGAGCGAAGGAAGTCAGACAGAGAAAGACAAATGCCAGGTGATTTCACTTATATGTGGAATCTAAAGAACATAATGAATGAATAAACAAAACAGAAAAAGATTCAGAGGAACAGAGAACTGACTGATGGTTGCCAGAGGGGAGCGGGGTTGGGGGGCTGGGTGAGAAGGGTGAGGGGATTAGGAAGTACAAATTGATGGTCACAGAACAGTCACAGGGATGAAAAGTACAGCATAGGGAATATAGTCAATAATATTGTAATAACTATGTACAGCGCCAGGTGGGTACTAGAAATATCAGGGAGAGAAACATCGATGAGAGAGAAACGTCAACCAGTTGCCTCTCATATGCACCCAACCAGGAATTGAACCCAGGACCTTTTGCTTTGCAGAATGACACCCAATCAATGGAACCACACCAGTCAGGGTTCATGCAGGTCTTTTAAAAGTGGAACCAAGTTACCATTAACTAAAAAAAAAAAAAAAAAAAAAAAAGCGCCCACCCAGCCCAGGTAATGTTGATGGGCAATCAGGACTGAGAACCGGCCCTAATAAAAACCCTCACATTCCTGCTTCAGTTGCCAAGGAGACTCATGTGTTTCTAGCACATGAGAGGGCAGCGATCGTTTCCAAGGTGGGAGCAGGCGCACGGGGGGAGCGCCTGTCATTGCCCATCTTCTTCCACCTAAAGTGACTGGCACTCTTCCCGAGTCCCACAGCACTTGTCCTCTCTTTTGATGGAGTCAGGTCATCTGCCTGTGCACCTTTTTTTTTTTTCTTTTTAAAGATTTTATTTATTCTTAGAGAGAGGGGAAGGGAGGGAGGGAGAAAGAGAGAGAGAGAAACATGGGTGTGAGAGAGAAATGTCAATTGGTTGCCTCTCGTATGCACCCCAGCTGGGGACTTGGTCTGCAGCCCAGGCATGTGCCCTGAGTAGGATTTGATCTGATGACTTTTCAGTTTGCGGGGACGATGCCCAACCCACTGAGCCACACTGGCCAGGGCTGCACGAGCACCCTGAACCCATCTTCCTGCCGCCTGTCCTCATTCGCACCCGCACTTGGGTTGCCGCTCCTGTTTGGGGCGCATCTCCTCCAGGAACCTGCTTCACTGTGTGTCCTCACCGCCTACCATCTCCTCCTCTGTTAGCTCCACCCTCTAAATACTCGAAAGAGTTTTATATAAATGCTCACCTTTAACGACAGATCTCCCCAGCCTATCAGACTGCCTTTCTCTTTCCTTACACCTGCAAACTCCAAAGGAGCACTGACAGTCATTCGATCCAATCCCGCTGCAGGTAACTGATGTCGGGGTGCTGCCGCCTACCACGTCACAGACCCCGCTCCCACCAAAGTGTTCAGCAGCGACCACATCCATGGACACACGGGCAGTCCCCATTCTCCATGGTCTCTGCAGAACAGCTGATCTTTTTGTCCATTTTACCTAAAGGGTCTGAGCTCTCCAGGGTCTTTGGCTAACACCTTGGGAACATCTCCTCACGAGCTTCATTGTTTATTCCCTGGCAAATTACCCGCAAGATCTTCCTTCTGCATCGCCCCCGCTCCACACCCCAGTTATTCCACTTTCGTCTCCCATGTCTAGAGAGCTCTGAACTATGTTATCATCAGCTCTGATCCTCATCACAAGCTCCTCAGTTTCTTAGTCTCAATTCAAATGTGACCTCCTTCCAGAAGCTTCCTGGCTCTCCCCCAGGACACCCTTCCCTCTTCTGCATTCCATAGCACTTCTCATGTGACAGTTATCTGTTTATTGGTTTTAATCCCACAATTACAGCGCAGCTGTAGTTCTTAATCAGGGAGGCTCCTGAGAGTCCCCTGAGTATCTTTTAAAAAGACATGTATTTCTGATACATAAGGATACCCGTCCCCTGCAGACGGTTGCCGTGCGTCTGCCTCAGGGCCCAGGTGGCTGTGGATGACAAAGCTCCGGGAGCCACGATGATGAGCACCGTGAGCTGGAGCGAGCGAACTGCGGAGACCCTGCCTCCTGCGGGCAGAAGCCTGGTCTTCCCCGACAGAAGCTCTGGCACAGGGCCCAGCACAGAGGAGCGGCTTAGCCGATGCTCGCGCCCGTTGGATGACAATTTACTCTCAGGGACGGTTAATCCACCACTCATTTCCCACTGCGGAGTGCATCGGCTGGCCTTGAGTTCATTTTCCACTCTGATGCTTCCAGATGCCTCAACTTGACCCTCCAGATACTTCGCTCCCCTTCGAACCTTGCAAAGATCCTTTTAGTGTGAAAACTCAGCAGAACTCCCTCCTTCCCACCTGTGTCCTCTGCTCTCCCCCTCTCTGACCTCTCCATTCCTTTTTCTAGCTCCGCCACTTAACTCACAAGCGCTCTCCTGGGACACCTTACCTTGGACTGCTGGACACTGACATTCCCTGCACAGTGTACAGGCAGAAAATAGGATGTAGAAAATGAAGAACTGCTAGGGGGAAAGAAGATCTTTTTGATCATAGACGTATCACGTCCATTTCAATTCAAATTGAATCAATAAACCTCTCCTAAGTGTCTGCTGTGTAGTATCTAAGTATCACCTTAGGCCAGGGAATCAAATGCGATCATGTCATTTCTGACCTCCCGTTACAGGAGTCTGGGCCGACCCCCAAACGGGGGAACAGATCCTTAATGAAATGCAGAATGTACCCTATCAGACAGTGAGAGCAAGGGGCAGGGGAAGAGAGAGAGACATCAACTCAAGGCAGAGGGGGCTGGGCATCAATGAAGACTTCAGAGAACAGATCCCGCTTCAGCCTTAGAAGGTGGGCAGAAGTGGTCAGACAGCGGCAGGGAGAGTCCCCTGGGCAGGGAGGGCGGCCAGGGCACAGGCAGGGTGTGGGCCACGACCAGCCACCTGGCTCCCCCGCGGAGGGGGGTCCTCGGCTTGGCTTGGTGGGAGGAAGCAGGAAGTTTGAGGAGGGGGAGGGGGCAAAGGCAGAGAAGCAGGCAGGGGTCGTGAGCCTGGGCACAGGGGCCACTTGGAAGGGTTTTAGCTGGGGGACGGTGTCATTGAGTTTAACTTCAAATTGGCACCTTTTCAAGGGCCCTAGAGAGTTAATATTGACTTGGATCTGGGTTTGCCCTTCTGTGGATCCAATTTTTTTTACAAAATTACAAAAGGCAAACGATAATTTTTAAGGCGTAAATACGATTCCATTTAAAAGAATTCGTTTGGTTTCACATTTTTAAAAAACACCCAGGAAACTTCTTAAGTGGTTAGAGTTGACATGTCTTTATTCTCAAAGGGGGCACAGAGAAGCTACTGTGTAACACGTACACACCGCATCGCGTGTTATTTTATGTGGTGGCCCCTACGGGCACCCCGTGTTGGCTTTATCAATAAGGTCAGTAAGTGTGGCTCTGTCCCCTCCGGACCACGCTGTCGCCATGACCCCCTACTGGCCACTGAAGGTCACAGTTCCGACTTCATCTCCTTAACTTTTGCAGGGGCGTCCAGCCAGCGAGGAAGGCTCGGGGCAGGGATACCGCAGCCACGGGGCGAGAACCCCCTGGAGTTTGCAGGTAACACCAGGCAGACCGGCTCACAGACCCGGCAGACCCCTCAGGTGCTGCAGCAGGACACGCACCGCTGTGGCTGGCCCGGCACCTTTCCCACCTAGAAAATCATCGCTGAAATTGCAGTGACGATTTGTGTCAGCGACAGGCAGGGGGCAGAAAACCTGTTAGGAGGGGGCGGGGGAGGAGGCAGGAGCAAGGCCCTGGCAAAGCTACAGAGTCAGGAGCGCCCCTGACTGGCTACTAGCAGCGCCAAGTAACAACTGCCGATGCTAAGGAACAAGTGCAGAGAGATTGGGAATATCTAAATAACACATAAATCTATATTCATATTTAAATATATTTTTTTCCCACAATACGCATGCTTCTCTGTTCTCATAATGATTAAGAACAGCGGCTCTAAAGCAAATTGGCCTGGGTTCAATTCCCAACTTCCTCCTTTTCTGGCTCTGTGACTTTCAGCAAATTATTTAAATATTCTTAGTCTCAATATCCTTAGCAGTAAAACATGGGTAATAGAATGTTACCAAATAGATTACAATGTGGATTTAGACTGATAAAATGTAATAAAAGTACTAATGTATCCTCTGGGCAAGGAGGTGCGTAGAAAATGGTAACTATTAATATAAGTCGTCATTACTGGACTTGCATAGACCCTGCATATTGCGTGGTGCTCGGCAATCCACAGGCTACGCGGGAGGGCCCCGAGCCCTGCCTCCCACAGCGCGTGGGCACGTACTTTGTGTTGATGTCATGATACCTCTGAGATCCAGGCCCCCTGGGAAAGTCTCTCATTCAGAGTTTCAAGTGTGCCCGGTTTCTTATTTGTTCAACTTCCCAGCTTTTTTTACTCTGGAAAATTTCTCTTCTCTGGGAGCTAAAAACCAGGAAGGAAAGAGTATCCTTAGAGTCTTCGGAATTCCAGATGAATTGGAAATGAATCTACTGCGATGCCGCATGTCTTTGTAAATTTCTTACGTCCCAGCGGTCGGTCTGTGGAAGTCCATACTGTGTGTGTGTGTGTGTGTGAGAAAGGGCCTCTGCAAACCACACAGGGATTGAGCTCCGCTTCACTTAGATGGTCCTAGAACTCTAAGTGGTTACTGGAACGTTTCAGGAGCCAGGTTCTCTTTCCAATAGAAAAGTAATTTTAGCTTCTGAGATTCAGCCCCTGAAATCAGGAGGCTGACACGCAATGCGTATTCTTCAAATGCAATGCGTCTGCTGAAAGGGTGCTAAATATAGCCCTGGGCCCGGCAGAGTTCAGAGATTCTGTATCTAATATGATCCTCACCACAGCTAACAAAATTAACGCAGTTCTGCTGAGCCCGACATCTCAGGGATGAGGATTTGGAAGGGGGAGGGAATATTTAATAGGAGGATTCAAGATGTGCTGAAAGGACCCAGGCCCTCAAAAACGTTGCCCGGACTAGGTGAACCCACGCTGATGCTTTAGGGGACAGGCGACCTTTTGGTCTCACCTTCGGGAGCCTCCGCCCCATCCTCTCACGAGCTGTTGTCAGCAATGAGTTGTCCCCTGACAGGCGAGCAGCCTTGACAGGGAGCCGCTCTTGCTGTGGAAAGTGAACTCAGACATAAAGACTGGACTGGGGTTCACAGGGAGAGCAAATTCAAAAGGGGAGTCAGAGGAGAGAAAAGGGCTCTGTTGCTTTTCAGGGACACAGACTCGTGACCGCCTCAAGGCAGGGCTTGAGGAAGCTTCGCTAACCTCCAAAGACCCGTCAGCCCACGTCCCCCCCAAACCGCCGGAGTAAGCTTTCAAATGAACTCAGTGGTTTCAATCCTGGCTGCAGGCCAGAACCACCTGAAAGGTTTTAAAAGTCACACAAGGCTAATAAAGGAGGATATCTGGGCCAGGAATAAGTTTCTGGGTTTTTGTTGTTGTTGTTGCCGTTTTAAGCTCCCAAAGCGACTCCACGGTCCAGCCAAACTGAGACCCAGCGGTCTGCGTGAACAAGGCATTCAGACCCTGAAAAAGCTCCCAGGCAATCTTTTTGACTCTTTCCCTAATCAGATGATCATCCCGGCCCGACCCAGAGAGAGAGAGCAGTCAGCCCTGCGGTGAACAGCCTTCTGTTCTAATTGCCGGGCTGAAGCTATTAGCATCAATATCGTGTTACAAACGCCAGCCTCTTCATTCCAGGCCGATCTGGCCCTTTGCAGAAAAACGTCTGCCCGCCCTTGAAGGAAGTCACCCATATGCTGTCATCTCCTCTCCAGGTCACAATAGCAGCAGCAGCCCCTATTGACTGAGCATCTTCTGTGAGTTGGACACTCTTCCAGAAATCTCACAAACATGTCACTAATGCTGATAACTCTGCATAGACATTACTGTAAAATTCCAAAGTATATCTAGACATCTGCTGCCTCCACCCATTGCCTCTCCCTTAATCCGAGCCACCGGTGGTGGTTTTCACCGCAGCTCCGGCCCATCGGCTTTCCTCGTACCCCATCCGTTCTATTCTCTGCATAGCCACCTGCACACGGGGCACCTTGGAAAAGCGGGAAGAGGTGTGCTTAAAGCCCACCAGTGGCTTCCTGCTCCTGGAGTAAGAGCTACACTCCTTCCCAAGGCCTGCGAAGCCCTGCATGACCCAGCTCCGGCTTCCACCCCGCGCGGCTCCGTGTTGGCCCGCCGTGCTCAACCCACGCTGCGTCCCTTCCCGCTGGAGAGCGTGCTGTCTTATTCCTGTTTTTTTTTAATACATAGTTTTAGTTTTTTTCTGCCTAGAATGTCCCCCCGACTCCCTTTCATCCTTCAGAGCGTGGCTGAAATGCCACCTTCACAGAGAAGAGCCTTCCCTCTTCACCGTCTAAGCACTACCGACTCCCTCTCCATCTGTTTTCCGTTGCTTTGCTCTGCTCCGTTCCTTCACCACACTGACCATGCACAGCAAGTACTTATTGTGGAGTTACTATTTGTGTCTGGTTCTCCCATGGGACAGCCAGCACCTCAATGACAGGGGTCATAGTCATCAAAGTCACCAAAGTCCCCCCAGTGCTTAGCATGATGCCTGGTACTTAGCCACTCTGTAGGATTTCTTGGATGAATAGAGACATCCATTTCATAGAGAGCAACGAAGCTAATTAACTTGCCAGAGATCAAAGAGCTCTAGCAACAATTACAGAACATTCTGCTAGGCTTTGTATCACAATCTCTCTGTCTCTCAAAAAAACATAAAATCACACATCCTAAAGACCTTAAATGACTGTAATTGCCCTGAATCTGCTTTGCGCTACTCATAGCCTAACCCACAGCTGTGACTGTCCATGTGCTAAGTACATCCAGGTGGTAGTGTCAGGCTGGGAGGAATGTGTAACAGTGGAAATCCTTACATTGTTCAAATGTGCTGGTCACAGAGCTTTTCCCTCGAGTGCTGCCTCTTCTGCCCCAGGTGGGAGGACCCTGTGCTTGATCAAGCTGCAGTCCTTGGAGGCCCTGGTTGGGTAGCTCAGTTGGTTAGAGTGTCGTGCCCATACGCCAAGGTCGTGGGTTTGATCCCCAGTCACGCACATACAAGAACCAACCCATGAATGCATCATAAGCAGAACAACAAATCAATGTTTCTCTCTGTCCCCCTCCCCACTCCTCTCTCTCTCCTTTCCTCTTTCTCTCTAGAATCAATCAACCAAAAAAAAAAAAAAAAAAATTTCAGTTGCCATGCCTGGGCCACTGATGGGATTTCCCTGCGGCCTAGGTGGGAAGTGACTATTCACGCCAGCTCGGCGGCACGGCTGTCCTGGGTACCTGGACGGACCCGCCCCGGACCCTCTTACCCGCACAGCTCTGCTGCGGCCCCCAGTGGACGCCGACGCCCTCGCGCTGGCAGGCACGGGTATACGCCAGGAACGACTCGCAGTAGCAGTTTTTATGGACTGGGCACTCACACATGTCTGTCACGCAAGACCTATGGGAAGCAACAGAAAGAAAGAAACATTTAAAAATGTCAAACGCCCTAAACGTGACTCGCAGCAAGGGCTGAGTCGGGGAATGGGGAAGCTCAGCGGGCCACTGACGGTCGCTCTTTTAGATCGGAGTCCTAAAAAGGGGATGCAAATTCTGCATGGGACCTAGGCTGCTACCTCTGAACATGACCAGAGATTCCTTTTCTTCAAGAGCAAAACTGCCCAATGGAATTTTCTGCAGCGATAGACTCATTCCAGAATCCCCGCTACCCAAAGCAGTAGCCACTGTCTGTATGTGATTACTGAGCACGTGAAATATATCTAATGTAAGTGAAAATCCAAATTTTGTACTTGATTTCATCTTTTTTGGTTTTGTTTTACATCATATTTTTTTTTATTCAATAAAAAGTAATCAAGTATATACTCACGCTGTCTACCCCCAGCTATGAAACTTAATCTTTACTGTGATTTAATTTCAATGACTTAGATATAAACAGCACGTGTGCCTAGCTGTGATCATGCTGGAAATGCAGCTCTTCGATACAGCCGCCATTGCAGGTGCTGTCCTTTTGCGAATAGCTTTGACATGGGAAGAGTAGGTTCTGAGATAATATAACTGAAATAGTGACCAACGGGATGAAAGTACAAACTCCCAGGGCAACATCTGGAATCTTCGTCTTTTGGGGAACACCAAACACCGTTTTCAAGAATGTGGTATCACAAGTTCCAAATGAAGCAACACTTTCAGCCCCCTAATTAGGCTGAAAGGTGAAGAGGTCTGAACCAAGGTCCCCTTCGCTTAACTTTAAACGTGGAAATGAGGCGCCAGGACATAAAGAGAACAGAATGATGTTTCCCTGTAAACGAACACATTTTGAAACACGTTACCCTCAGTGACACCGTTATGACATTACACGGGTGTGTAATAGTATAGCTCACAAAGCGTGGTCTCTCCCTGTGAGGTCAAGAGAACATCTGACAGCCTCTGTTTGATAAACAAAGAGGTCGTTTTACAAAACAAGAGATGGGCCCAAAGTCACGTTAACAGGTGGCAAAGGAGTGAATTAAATTACATCTCCTTACTCAGAGGCTAGTGCTTTTTTTATCAACCCGTACCACCATCCTCACCTTCACCTCTCAGTGAGTTTGCTCCTAACAATTTTGCCTTAACATTCATGCAAGAGGCCACCAAGGTTAATAAAATTAAACCATGCTTATTTTGTCATACTCTTTCTCAGCAAAGCCTCTTCCTTATACAGGACCTAATTCAAGATGACAAGTGACACAGATGATCTTGAACGGGATCAGGACACGGTCCTCCAATGTTAAGATGCCACCGTTTTCGCTTGGGGGGACACATTTGCACACCCGACCAGAGAGCGACCAGCCAGCTCTGTGTGGACGCTGGTGCCTCACCTGCTCTGCACAAGAATGAACGGCAGAAGCCATATGGAAGGAGCAGTAGGCTCACTAAGTACCCGCAAAGCTATTACAGTTCAATAGTCAAGGCAGAACCTGGGGAAATATGAACTGAGAGGGGCAAACGAGCAACCGATCTGAAACCTGAAGAGCCTCTTCCACTTCCGCATGTGAGAGATTATTTGATGACAGACACTTAAGTCACAATAATCGGGACAGACACATTGATCTCTCTCCTCCCAGTAATCATCACGCTGAGTTTCTGAATAGCTTCTCCCACTTGCTTTACAGAACTCCTGTGAAATCACATTCACTGGCAAACCCCTTCTGGTATGAGACACGCAGTGCTGTGTCTAAATTCGTGTGCAGCCTCCAGCTTCCAGGAGAAGCCACATAAAGCTGATCCTTGCAACGGCCTCTCAGTGTCTGAGTCTGAAGCCTCCTTTTGCCATCATTTCCTCTGTTGATTCAATTTCCACTTCAGACTAACCCACGCCCGCCACTCGCAAGCTCTGACCTCATGGCCACGGAGCCCCTGCCCCAGGACCTGTGCTCTAACCTCATTTCTACGTCATCCCCCCGCCATGGGGTGTGGGGATCTCTTTCCCTGTCCCCAGGCTGTTGAGGTGACATGAATGAAATGGTACCTAGGGGACCTGGAAAAATGACAGCACTTGTACGGAAAAGAGCTGGTCTGTCCATGAGGAAATGCGTCCTCTGATGTGAAAACACACGTCACATAATTCTTAAAATCGTGTGGACAGTGAACAAAGAAAATTAAATTTGCCTGGGTAAAAAGATTATTGGTGAGTGTTTTCCTTCTTTTCTCTTTGTTTTGACTGGTTGTCTTATTGAAGCTATTTATACAATTTAAAATAAATTATGGACAGCTAAATCAAACTCCTTGAAACTGTGGAGAGAAAATGTGTTAGGCTCACATTTAATAATCATTCCGGGCATACCTCCCGCCCGCTTCACCCAGACCACCTGCGCGTGCCCTCAGACACATAATAGACCTGCCCCTGAGAACTAAGCAGATTGGAGCTTATTTGATTACTTGGAACTACGAGGAACAACATTTGAGGCAAAAACATTTGCCAGAGACAGCCCTTCCCTTGAAACATTTCTCGTATTTTTGAAGGCTTGGGAGATGTATTTTGTCATGGAAGTTAAAACTACAAGATGTCTTTTTTCAGTTGTCAGGCTGATGACTTTTACACAGAATTTTGCCCAGGATTTGGGAAACAACATAGAAATGGACGGTCCAAACTCCGTGGGCAGAGGGTAAGACTGTTAGCTCTACGTCAAGCGTTTTGCTACAGTCAGCCTTTAATGGGTATCTCGTTTGTTCCCACAGCCAGGGCCGTGAGGCAGGTCCCAGCACCGGCCCGCATGGCAGGCAAGGGCACTGAAGCTTGGAGGTGTTACCACCTTGCCCAGGGGCACGTGGCTGATGACAGAACCAGGCTGCAAAACCAGGACTTTAACTTCGGTCTTTGTCATCGCAACACCCGTCCTCATAAGACCTACATTAGAAGACCTTTCTGAGAACAATTTGACGATATGGCCCTTAGAAAGGTTCTTATGCTCTGATTGGAAAACTCCACCCTAAAGAAACAGGAATGCATGTGCACAAAGGCGTTACATATGGGGGTTTTTGTCACAATACTATTTAAAAATGGAAAAAAAAAAAAAAGCCTGCCATGGGTGTCTAGTTAAATAAATTTAGTTGACCTCTACTGAAATATTCTGTGGACATTCCAATGATATTTTGGAAACATTTTAAAATATGAGGAAACACTAAGGAAGGATTTATTGGAGAAAAGCCAAACTGTGTTTCAATATCGTGTGGTCAGCCACAGAAAACAAAATAAATCAACATGTATACATGCAAATGCCCATAACAGGCAACAATGAGTAGGGGACTGTGGCTCTTTCATTTTTTTCTGATCTGTATTTTCTACAAGGAACACACATTGCTTTTCTAAAAACATAAATCACAATGTAATGTTAAAATAACGCCACGAGCAACACAGCTCATATTAATATTTAAATCAGAATTTAGGAACTGGAGTGAGAAAGTAAGGAATAAAGGAAGGGAGAACATTTGAGTGTGCGCTCGCAGGTCTTAGTACACATTTCTTCAGCTCCGACCCTTGGTCTGTGTGTCGGAGGCTACCTGATGCGGCCTATGTGTGACTCGGTGAGCTGTCCTTCACCTCTGGGCCCACCGAGGCTGGGAGCTTGGCATCGGACAGATGGGAGGGATAATGGAATAATTACATGTGCTTCTGCAGGTTACAGAGAAATTGATCAAAAGAAAAATAAAAAACATCCTTGACTGCACTTCACATTCCAGGGAGAGGCAAAACTACTATTATTCAAATGTTCGATTTGTGTTTATCACACTTAATAATTTGGTATTTTCCTGCCTTGAATGTGCTTCCTGGTCTTTCCCCCAGAAAGATCTATTGCCTATCTTTTCAGACTCAGTTTGAATTCCTCCATGGTGCTCCTTGCCTGGCCCAAGAGAAGTTAGCCCCTTTGATTGGGTCCTACCCTGTCCACACCTTTATTCTCGCAGATCCTTTGAGGTCTAGTGACCTCTTTCCGTGTCTGTGGGGAGGACTCTATCTTGCCTGTCCAGCCAAGCACAGCTCACTAAATATTTGGGGAATCCTCAGAAGAGGATGTTCTTCTAGTTGAGAATGGCCTAATGATCTCTGCTCAGCTTCCAGGGTCGGGAAGTAGGACACTGGTGAACCCGAAGGAGAGTGAACCCCGTCCTTGCCCGGACTCCCCCGTGGCTGCCCAGCATAGCCCGGGGGCTGCGGTCCAGCAACCTCTGGACGAGGCTGTTTCTACCAGAACTCTTCCACGGCCATTTTCCTTCTGAACCTCTTGCGCTGCTCTCCTGTATCCAAGGGGAGATATATATATATATATATATATATATTTAAATTTAATGAATGGTGGAAAAAAAGGATTTGATGAGAGCATTCTGCTCTAATGACACATTTTCAGAAAAGCACACTCAATATTGTAAGAATAACCTACAGGGCTTCCTGTTATTAAAAAAGGCAAAGGCAAGCCTCCAATGTGCCTACAATCAAAACATCAAACATCTCTCAGCTTCCTAGCAACGGCATACCAAGTGGTTTCCCCTCTGCTTTTTCTGGCACAAGGGCCCCGCTGTCGGAGAGGCAAGCGCTCACGCCCTTGCTACCCAGACACGGTTTCCACCGCTGGGAACTCTCCACCCCGCTTCTGGGAGGACAGACGGGCACGCCAGGAGTGACAGCAGCCAGTCCCACCCGGGAGCCAGAGTCAGCTGCCACCAGGAAGAGTCTTTGGCTGGACTCCATTGTTCCTTCTAGAGGTCCGCCTTCCTGAGAGCAACAGCAGAACTGGGGCTGGAAGGTGACTAGCAAGCAAGCTGGGGACACATGGCTTTCCTTGCCGGTGTACCTGGGGAGTTCACAGATGCATGTGAAGGCATCTCAGGCTTGTTAGAGGCTGGGCGTCAGTGGGGAAGAGGGAAGGGAGTGGGTGTGAGAGACAGAGTCCTGCCTGGGTGGACGCA